CTGAAAGGATGTGTAGCTGTCAAGAAGCCTCACTGAGAAAACAAGACAGACACATCAAACAAAGAAGCTGAACAATGGACTGACCACAAAATCCAGTCCAAAACGGTCCAGACCTCAACGCCACTGAATGTGTTTGGATTACTTCAGAAAATGATCGACCAACTTCTAAGACTGAACTTTGGAGGTGTGTCTGCAGATTTCTTTGAGAAGCTAAAAGTGAGTCTCCTGAAAAGAATGGAAGCTGGAATAATGAATGTTGTGTTCTCCATGCCTAAGAAGAAAAGGATCCAGATTATTACCAGTGTAAAGTTCTAAATCCAGAGTTTGCCATGGTGTGGGGAGGTATTAGCAGGCAACCTGCACATCTGCGAAAGCTCCATTAACACTAAATACATTTTGGAGCAATATATGCTGCCTTTTAGACGCCATCTTTTTCAGAGAGGTCCTGCTTATTTCAACATCACAACACAAAGAAACATTCTGAACATGTTACAGCAGCACAGCCGTGTAATCAGAGTGTGAGGGTGCTAGACTGACCTGCTCACAGTCCAGAACTGTCTCCCCCTATAAACATATCTTATTAAGCTCAAAATATGACAAAAAAAAGGCCCTGTACAGCTGCACAGTTGAGGACTTATACTCTTATAAAACTGGATCAGTTTGTGTCTTTAGTCCCCAATGATTTTTAAGTGCTGTTAAAAAGAAAGGTGATGTCTCTGGTAAACATACTCCTGTTCTAACTTTTTAGGAACATACTGCAGGTATCAAATTTGGAGCAAGTATATATTTACAAAAAATACAAAGTTTATAAGGGTAAAACACCAAATATTGTGTTTTTGTGCTGCTTTTTAATTCAATTTAACTAAATTTATATTTCTTTAAATGCATTTTTATTGGCATAACACACACACACTGGCAAACTTGTTTGGAATAGAATTTGTATTCATTTAAACTGCTGACTTCTTTGACTTCTAACAAAAAAAAGCTGTTTTCTGTTTCTGTTATCTAATTGGTGCACACAGGTGTTTATTTATTGAGTAAACCCTCGAATCACTAGCATTGAAGTACAAATAAACACAAACAAACAAAAAAAAGATTTTGAAAAAAACACTGTAAAATGAACATTAGGTTAAAAAATATATATTTAAAATGTGCTGCAAAAAAAGGAAGCTCTTTGATAAGACAGTACAGGCTTTAGTCTCTGTAAACAGACTGTTTAAAGGCATTTCATAAACGCTGTGCATAAACAACGCCTCATTTATCTCAGTGCAGCACAGAGTTATGATAAGACGCTTTTTATGAGACAGAAATGTAATAGTATAAAAAGTAACGCGGTCCTGGAGTGGGGGGTGGGGGGGGTGGGGAGCAGATTAATTGCAACATTCATTTTCTTTTACTTCAGCTTGAGCTACAACAAAAGTGAACAGGAAAGTAATTAATATGGGAGGTATGAAGATTAGTCAAAGGAAATTGCCCACCTTTGTATCCAACATATAATTTGCCCTTGACTACCATTAGAGGAAACAATCAGAACTACAGCTTGAACAAAAACGTAACTTTTCTACCTCATTAACACACAGCGGCTTTTTTAAGCTCTACTGAAGAATAATGTACCTGCCAGTTGACTATGCGGTGATGAAGTGCTGAAGGCAGGCATAGGTTCAGCGTGAGCAACAAAAATGTGTATATGGATCATTTAGAGTCAGAGCTGAAACACATTTCAGACTCTGAACTGATCTTGGACTATAGATAAAAAACTCTTAGTTTTGAGTGACTCTATACCTTAATTATGCTTATTTTATTTCAAAAATGTTTAAACATTCCATTTTGTCACTACCAAAGCAATCAATACTCCCCAAACGTTTCAGCAGTGACTGTTTTGGTAGTGACAACTTTGGCTCATTTTGAGATCAAAAACGCAGCTAGTAAATGACCAGCATACACAGCTTTGACCAGCAGTACATACATAAAATCATCATTTTCATTAGAACACAAAAAAGTTTAAAAAAAACTGTGTTTCGGTAGTGACAAATTTTAATGTTCCACACTGATTTTCAGACTTTGGGACACATTAACTTCAAAACAATGGGATCTAACTGCTCACCATGTGGCCATGAGGGACAGGGATGCAGCCTCACTTCCTGCTCTGAAATGCAGGGGTGTGGCTAAACTAAAGCTCCACCTACAGACTAAAACTGCGTTTCGGTAGGGACAAGAAAATGTAGGATAGCAATTTTTTTTAATTTAAAAATTAAAATCATTATAAATCTTTAACTTTCAACTTCACTTTAAGAGAGATCAAAAATATCTTTAAAACAAAAAAACAAGAATTTTTCACCTTTTTAACAAGTAAATTTAGGGGATAGGGTTCGGGACAGACACATTCCCAACAGAAAGTACCCTATAACTGATGATATTGTATATATTTAGGTTTTAAATCTCTCTCTCTTACATAAATCAGAAAATAATCCTTGTAAATATTTAGGGTCTGAAAATGTTTTAATAGTTTTTTTACTGTGGGACTGCAGAAGTGTTTTATGAGCAAATAAACACTTTTTGGTCAGATAAACAGCGTTTGAATTCAAATACTCGGGTGCTTAAAACTTTTACATAGTAAGAAAAAAGAAAAAAAAAGAAAAACTTTGTCTTATTTTTGGTTTTTGGCCCAGTGTGTTCTAAACTTCATTTCCCGTTTCAGGCAAGAAATTTCAGCGCACCACTAATACATGCGCACAGCCTATTCAGCCTATTTTTAATTGATATCTCCAAAATCACTGCCATATACAGGCCTGTCTATAAACATGTGACTCACTCTACTCGCTCACTATTACAGTGCACTCACTAATCTCTACTGCTTTCCTAAATAACAGGGCACTGAAACACTGCCACTCTGAAGCAGCTGAAGCAGATCAGACTAAACAAAAGGAACGAATGGTCCAGCAGGTCCAGTCATCTGGCTAACAGGCCAGTCATCGCACAATAAAAACAAAGCCACGATTACTCCTATCGCTTGACAGTGAACAGCTGCACGCTGCGTAAGGGCCAGAACATCCAGCTAAAACCTCTCGAAGCTTCCCACATCATCACGGCCTTTTCCTTACAGACCTGTTTGTGATGTTCTCAGCGGTTCGGAGAGGAGCGCTGATCTGTATCACTGCTGGGAAGATCAGCGTTAATGAATCTCAAACCTGCGTAACGTTTTCATTCTACAGTGACACACTGTGCAGCGAGACTTTATTTAGGATGTGGTTTCTTCTTTTGTATTAGCTGCCAAGCTGTGGTCAGTCTGATCGGTCATGGCCAGTTTATAGACTCTTATGTTCTATCTAAAACACCACCCCAGACGTAGATGTATCTCAATTTAATTCAATTACATTGCATTTTTTTATAATTTTTTTTCCCCCCGATTTAGTTGTATTTGATTTCGCCCACTAGTTAGGACTCTCCCAATAACACGATACCACCAGTGCAAGGCAAACACAGGCTTCCTCAGAGTCAAGTAAAGCCACAGCATCTGTTCAAACTGCCTCTAACTCAAAGTCACTGGACAGCTGAACACGCTCGGAGGAGAACGCTAACTGCCATCATGGTAGGCTGTTGCTATATCATATGTGGCTGTTAAGGTGTTGCTAGGCTGTTGGCATAGTATCCCACGTGGTTGCTAAGGTGTTGCTAGAGGGTTGCTATGGTATCCCAGGTGGTTGTTAAGGTTTTGCAAGGTTGTTGCTATGGTATCACAGGTGGCTGTTACGGTGTTGCTAGGCCGTTGGCATGGTATCCCAGGTGGTTGCTAAGGTGTTGCTAGGTGGTTGCTATGGTGTCCTGGGTGATTGCTTAGGTTTTGCCAGACTGCTCTATGGGATCTCATTAGGCTGTTAAGGTGTGGCTAGGCAGCTGCTATGGTATCCCAGGTGGTTGCAAGGCTGTTGCTATGTATCATAGGCAGCTGTTAAGGTGTTGCCAGGCCATTGGCACAGTATCCCACGTGGGTGCTAAGGTGTTGCTAGAGTGTTGCTATAGTATCCCAGGTGGTTGCTAAGGTTTTGCAAGGTTTTTGCTATGGTATTACTGGGGGCTGCTATGGTGTTGCTAGGCAGCTGCTATGGTATCCCAGGTGGCTGCTAAGGCGTTGCTATGTCAATGGTATAGTATCCCAGGTGGTTGCTAAGCTGTTGGTAGGCGGTTGCTTTTGCCTCCTGGGTGATTGCTTAGGTTTTGCCAGACTGTTCTATGGGATCTCATTAGGCTGTTAAGGTGTGGCTAGGCTGTTGCTATGATATGTGGTTGCTAAGGTTTTGCAAGGCTGTTGCTATGGCATCGCAGAGGTTTCTAAGGTGCGGCTAGGCTGTTGCTATGAAATCACAGGTGGTTGCTAAGTTGTTGTAAATTAATAGGTTGATAGTAAATTAACTATCAGAAGGTCATGGGGAAGTTGGGAAAGCCAAAGTTTAACAACTTGTGACGAACAAAATTAGAAATGGATGTCAAACAACTTTTTTTTAGTTGATAAACCAAAAAATTATGGGATGACTTTTAACGTAATCACATCATTATGATAAATATAAACCATTTTTATCACAAAGTCAGTTTGACTGAAAGAAGCTGCTGGGCAGCACATTTTTTTTTTCACGTTTTCATTTTATTGCTTACAATTTGCACAGAAAGCTGATGGAAACATAAGTTACTGAACACACTAAAGAAATCTAGATATTCTGCATTTTGTGCAGCAACACAGAATTATTCAAATGAGAAATCACAATACATCTCAGAACTGATTATTCTTCCCACCCCTAAGAAACTAGCAATCTCCTGATTATGAGGTGGACCCTTGGGATGGTTATGTCTGGTGGGAACCTCGTCATCTTCTGGACTTTTATGTTTGAAATTAGCTGAGGAATTTTATTCTAATGATCACAGAGAGAGAGAGGGATCTGTATGATCCAGCAGCTGAAGATTCAAGTGAGGCTTTAAACTCCCAAAGATAAACATTCTGGACTTACAGACATCTGGAGCCTCGTCAGATCCATCAGGACAGTCTTTCTCTCCGTCACACCTCCAGCCTTTAGAGATACAGGTCACCTGGTCCTTACACACAAACTGCTTGGGGCTGCACGTCTTTGGGGCTGCAAAAGCAAACAAGAAACAATGAATTATTACAGCTGCTTTATTATTTATTCTGTTCCATCTGACACTGTGTCCATGCTCCATGACTGACAGCGAAGACAGAAATACAGATTCTGCCCAAAACAGACTACAGAGTTCTATGATTAAATAAAGGGCGATTAAGATTGTTCTTAACACAGTCAGCAGGCAAGTCTGTGCTTTTCCTCCCCTCACTGCTACTTTTAAGACGTTTTACTAGCCCACAGAGAAGGTAACTAACAACCTAGTGGATCTAAGTAAATGAAACCATGTACGTCAAGTTTCAAGTTAATGATATGACTAAGGCTTACCCTCTGACAAATGTGTGTGTGTGTTGAAATCAGCATAGAAGAAGACGATTCAAAGTTGGCTAACGTTAGCAAAAGTTAGTGAAGTTCAGTTCAGTTCCACCTTAAATGAAGCATCAGTTACATGTAACTGCTGTTCCATTTAAGGTGGAACAGAACATTTTAAGAAGAAACTGACTAGTGCCAGTTATCCCTATGAAAAAATGCTTAACCAAAAAATAAATACAAAAATTGCTTAGGTTTTGCACTGTTCTATGGTACCTCATTCGGCTGTTAAGGTGCAGCTAGGCTGTTGCTATGATATCTCAGGTGGTTGCTAAGGTGGAACGGAACATTTTAAGAGGAAACTGGCTGGACTGCAGATGAACTTGCAATGCTCTTACAAGTTCATTTACAATCTAAATGACCTTGTACTGCCCAGTTGAGATGCAGCTTTATAGTTTACATTTCTTTGCTTTTATCTAGATTTTTTTAATTACAGCACTCTTTACTCTTTTCATTTTGTCTTTTAAGAAAATGACTAGTGACAGACAGATAGATATGAAAAAATGCTGTACCAAAAAATAAATACAAAAATTTATGTTTTTATTTATCTTTTTTTTTTCAAAAACGTATTGTATTGTGATACAAAATGACAATATATATCATATCGTGAAATTTGCATATCGTTACACCCCTACTGATACGGTATTGGTGGAGCTCTACTCTGTAGAGGATGTGTTAACTTATTTTATCTTTTAGAAAAAACAACACAACTTATAATTTGGCTAGAGCTGCAAAACATTTACACACAACTATTTTTTTTTCCAAAGCTACTTCAATTTGGTCTTTACACTAAATGAACATATAATGAGGGAGTGAAGCCTGAAATGGTGCCGAGAGTTAAGAGATGGTGCAGTCCACCGTATGGTAAACTGATACTGATGGGAGGACTTGGGTGTTCACTATTAACACTGTTTACTCAGTGTAATTGTAAATAGGGTATTTAATCCACCCAACCCCCCGTGTAATTGACACCCTGAGTAAGACTGGCCCATCTGCCTGAGTAATACCTGTTTTTGGCAGTGCCTAACTACATGTTAGAGTATCAGACACTGTACCTAACAACTGCTCATTAGCCGACTGAGGCTGAAGGAGGAAACGGATGATTACAGACTGAAGGCTGAGAATGTTTAACCCAGTAAACACACAGAAGCGCAGACAGAGCTGCCCAATATGGACAAAATACTAGAATTGCGATTAAACTGATGCACATTGTGACCCTTTCCCCCGCAACTTCCTCCAGTTCATTCTGGAGGACCACAAGCCAGTCCCAGCACAATGAAGAGATATAATCTCTCCAGCAGGTCCTAGGAGGACCTCGGGGTCTTATCCCAGTCAGCCGTGGCTGTAAACCTCCACCGGGAGGCGGTCAGGGGGCATCCTGATCAGATGTCTAAACCACCATAACTGGCTCCTCTCAATGTGGAGGAGTATAGGCTCTATTCTGAGCTCCTCCTGGATGACCGAGCTCCTCACCCTGTCAGTAGAGTGTAGCCCGACACCCTGTGAAGGAAGCTAATTTCCGCCGCTTGTATCTGCGATCTCATTCTTTCAGTCATTACCCAAAGCTCATGACCACAGCTGAGAGTCGGGATGTAGACCGACTGGTAAACAGAGCTTTGCCTTTTAGCTCAGCTCCCTCTTTACCACTACAGTCCGGTACAGTAACAGCATTACCGCTGCCGTCTGTCCCAGCCTGCAGCCGATCTCACCATCCCTCTTTCCATCGCTCATGAACAAGACCCAGCGATGCTTAAACTTCAGAGCTAAGTCGTCTGGAGCAGTATGCTGCTGATAGGGTCTCCTAGGGCAAACAGGTCAAGAGTGAACATCCAGACTAACTCGATCCAAAACCCCCCATGATCAAGGACCACAATATATCGTGTGCCCTGCCTGGGAGAGAGTTACCAGGACCTAACACCCTGGAGCCATGCCTATGGGTAGTGTTCCTCAGCGAGCGCCAGGTGACCAAGCAGCCCACCAGGCTCAGCCCGAAAAGGCAATGTGGAAGGACCATGTGGGCCCACCACCTGCAAGGTCCAGCCTGGGGGACCGGTGCAGTGCCGCATAGGTGGTGGGATCACAAAAACAATAACTTCAAAATGTAGTTTCCATATAAGGACTGTACGGACTGGGGAGTTAAGGATAAAACTTTGACTTCATATATCAGTCTGTGATCGACTGAGGAAGTTTCACGTAAAAGAGAAGGCCTTCAATGGAAAATACAGTCACATAACTGTACTTCCCATAACACTAAAGATGCGCAGTAATATCGGAATTATATTGTTACTGGTTGTTCATGATTAGCATTCGCCAGATGTTCAGATTTGACAGATATTCTAAACTGATATTTAATAATGTATTTATTGCACTCTGGAAGAGCAGAATGTTTGGGTGATGCTGGGTTACTACACTATTATTTTTAATAAACTTATAACCCTACATATTACCCTAAGAATAAATGATTCTGTAATGCTGATCCAGGTAGATTTAGTCCTGATTTTTGTATATTTTATTGATGTTTATGTATCAGTATCAGCAGATATGCACATGAAAAACATCAGATAATTATATCAGGCCAAAATTCCCATATCGGTACATCCCTATTTGCAAAATCTGTCTATAAAAAAAGACATTTAGGGAAAATATCCAGTCAAAATTTTCCAATTTTCCAGATAGTCATGAAAGTGTAAAAATATTAAATACTAAATTGGGATTTTGGTATTCAAATGAGTTTCTCTCTAATGATACATGCCGTCATATTTAAAAACCATTAGCTGTCTGCACTCTATTCTCCTCCAAGGTGCAGCGTAGAGCTGCATCTCACGTTTTGGTGTGTTTATCATCTGTTTAGTATGTTTAGGAAACAAAGATTACTGCAGCCGTCTAACTGCTCAGCTATAGCACACAGGAAAACTCAGAAAAGTACTAATAAACATTAAACTTCTTTCTTCTTTGAACGTTCATGGTTCTATATAGAACCTTTTTCTTTACTGAAGAACCCTTGAAGAACCATCTGTTTTGTGTGTACGTATACTTACTCAGCCTACGGCAGATAAGCTCTGCCCATTCACACTGAAGTTATAAGGACTGTTTCAGCTCAGACTGCTTTTTTTAGGGTGCAATACAAGGCAACCAATCAGAACAGAGGTCATTTACATATTTTAGTCTTAAAGGTACAGTAACAAAAACAGCCTGGTATAATAGAAGATAATGTGAGATACAGGCCCTTTTTTGGTGTAAACATTTTTTGAATATTTTTCGAATTACGCCTACGAATTCAGATAATTCTCAGCCCAGCTTCAGCGTGCCAGTCTGTCTCCCTGCACAGGCTGGCGTCTTGTCTCTAAGAATAACCTGCCTGAACGTCTCCCGTTCTTGTTTTTCTAGACTTTCTGTATCTTTCCATTAGGCCAGGTTCTCTCTGGTTCTCTTGCTTCTCTCGTTTGTGCTCGATATAAAGTCTCTTTCTCAAACAGTTCTAGTCTTTCAGCCTCTGAGTTTGATCAGCCTGCCCACAAATATCCAGGTCAGCTTTCCCAGACCAACGCCAGTGATGCAACAAGTCTACAGGCCATCAAAGGACATCTTGTTCTGGTTTGGCTGCGAAAAGGGGCAAAAAATGCTCCCTCTTTTCACTGGTTCTCTATTTGGAGTCAAATGAGGATGTGTTCCAAACCACTTTCCCTCCCCTCGAGCCTCTTCCCAGCACACCCTAAAACAGCCAGGTTCTGTAGTCTGGAGCGTCGCCTGAGAAACGGGCATCGTCGCTGTGGTATCACAACTTCCCGGTAACGAGAAACATTCTTAAGTGAAAGTAATAACCAGGACCAGGGTGATTAATTAAAACACTTGCGGATTTGTTTGTTATGTTGGGGTTCGCCTCTCTATTTAGTTTTCACAAGCCTCATTTTTTGCCAAGCCAGAAAAATTATAGATTAAATAAATTACCAGCAAATGCCTTTAACATAGAATGGTTACTGCTGATGTATGGAAAACGTTAAAACTAAACAAATAACTGCTGTTTTAGTTTAGAACACGGTCAGGAATTAATGCCAGACATCCACCTCATCTCGGCTTTAATTTTAAAAAGTTAAGACTATCAATAAAGTAAACTAGAGGACAACAACTACCACGCACAACACCGACATTAACAACAACAATCACCACCATCACCACCCATCATAACCACCACAACCATCACCACCAACAGCACCTATAATAACCACCACAATCAACGATAACCAACACCTATCATAACCACCAACAACCATCACCACCAACAGCACCTATAATAACCACCACAATCAACGATAACCAACACCTATCATAACCACCAACAACCATCACCACCAACAGCATCTATCACCACCAACAACGATAACTAACACCTATCATAACCACCAACAACCATCACCACCAACAATGATAACCAATACCTATCATAACCACAACCATCACCACCAACAACAACTATCATAATCACCACAACCATCATAACCACCACCAAAAACAATCACCAACGCCACCAACAGCAACACCCATCAACAACTTCATCATTACAACCAACACAACTATCACCAACCACGACCACCAACAACCATCAACACTACCACTAATTACCATCACAA